TAAAGATGTTTTAAGGAATCCTCCTCCTCCTCCTCCTCCTCCTCCTCCTGGGATTACAGGCGTGAACCACCACACCCGGCCGGAATTCTCATTATTAAAGATGGTACCCGGCCAGGCGCAGTGGCTTACGCCTGTAATCCAAGCACTTTAGGAGGTCGAGGAGAGAGGATCACTTGAGGTCAAGAGTTCCAGACCAGCCTGGACAACATGGCAAAACCCCGTCTCTACTGAAAATACAAAAAGTAGCTGGGCCTGGTGTTTTGCACCTGTAATCCCAGCTACTCTGGAGGCTGAGGTATGAGAGTCGCTTGAACCCTGGAGGCAGAGGTTGCAGTGAGCTGAGATGTGCCACTGTACCCTAGCCTGGGCGACAGGGCAAGGGTCTGTCTTAAAAAAGAAAAGAAAAGAAAAAAAAGTGGTATCCATGTCTCAATTTTAAAAAACAGCTACACTATTTATGTGATAGGTATATAATTAATGTATGAGTATTCCCAGACTTCCCTTCCACTAAGGAGAATTTTGTCTTTATCTGCTTAGGTTCTTTTCCCCTGATAATGCCTTCTACTGGAAAATTCTGGTTTTGCCAGATGGGTTCAAGGCTTTTTGTGCTGGAGGAAAAAAAGAATCTTCAAGATGCTAAATTGGTTGACATAATAAAGAACTGAGAAAATCACGCAAGATAGGGAGGAGACAGAAGAGGTGGACGGGCTGAGTGTCATGGATTTGGAACCTGACAGGCTCTGCTGCTGCTGTGGAGAATACAGCTGGGAACAAGGAGGAAGGACTTTTGAGTGGTTTTACTGTGGATTATGAGTTAAAATCTTTTTGATTCCTTTCAAATTACTCTTGATTGCTGGAATGACTGTGCTTCTTTGAGTGGGATTCTGTGTTGTGACCGAGATGGCCAAATGGAGGCCTCTGTTTGTGTGGATTATAACTGTTTGAGATTCTCAGAGACTATCAGAAAGTTCATGCAGATCAGGTAAGTGGGCTCATGCTGAAACTCAGAAAAATTAATTTTTCATTCAGTTGACCCATTGGCTGCCATAGTGCTTTTGTCTTTTTAATTTTTTTTTTTTTCTTCTTGAGGCAGAGTCTCGTTCTGTCACCCAGGCTGGAGTGCAGTGGCACAATCTCAGCTCACTGCAACCTCTGCCTCTGGGTTCAAGCAATTCTCCTGCCTCAGCCTCCCGAATAACTGATTACAAGCATGTGCCACCACACCTGGCTAATTTTGTATTTTTAGTAGAGACAGCATTTCACACTGCCACGACATCTGGATAATTTTGTGTTTTTAGTAGAGAGAGTTTTTCACCACATTGGCCAGGCTGGTCTCGAACTCCTGACCTTAAGTGATCTACCCGCCTCGGCCTCCCAAAGTGCTGGGATTATAGGTGTGAGCCACCATGCCTAGCCTGTCTTTTTAATTTTAAATTGTTTTTGTTGTTCATATCATGTTTAAGATACCCATATTAAGGATAATCGAATGTTCCAGTTGGCCTGGGACAGTCCTAGTTTACCATGTTGTCCTGGAATAATTATTAATAGTACCTATTTTCACTCAAAATATCCCTAGTTTGGATGATAACTCATATAGTCATCTTACCCATAAAGAACCACTAATGAAGACAGGAAATGTAAGTGTAAGTCAGTGAGGAGCATCAAAATAACAATTTGGTAAATTCTCAAGAGAATCTGCAGATTCATAAATTGCATTCTTCTGATAAAAATTATACAACACATCAAGATATAAAGAAAATTAGAGAATCAAGCCAAGATGTCCAATATCCAATAATTCCAGAACGATATAGGTAAGGAAAATAAGAAAAATACTTCCTAGACCTGAAAGAAAAATGTCTCCAAATTTAATAAGACCATAAAGTACCTAGAGCACAATACATTAACAGCAACAACAAAAAAACCATTCCAAGGCATATAAATATTTAGGACACCAGAGATAAGATAAAAAGACAACCCTAAAAAGTTTCCAGAAAGAATAAACTTGCCTCATACCCAGATCAAGAATCTGATGTCATATGACATCAGAATTCTTCAGAGCAACATGAGAAATTAGAAGACAATGGAACAATGCCTCAAAAATTCCGAGGGCAGTATGTTCCAACTTAAAATTGTATCTACTCTTATTTTATGAGACGGAGTCTCGCTCTGTTGCCCAGGCTGGAGTGCAACAGTGAAATCTCAGCTCACTGTAACCTCCACTTCCCAGATGCAAGTGATTCTCCTGCCACAGTCTCCTGAGTAGCTAGGACTACAGGCATATGCCACTATGCCTGGCTAATTTTTGTATTTTTAGTAGAGACGGGGTTTTACCATGTTGGCCAGGCTGGTCTCAAACTCCTGACCTCAAGTGATCTGCCTGCCTCGGCCTCTCAAAGTGTTGGGAGGCATGAGCCTCCATGTGCAGCCTCCACTCTATTAAAGTTTTGAATGTAGGAATTCATATTTTTATATATAGGTGTTCCCAAAATCTTTACCCCTCAAAGCATGCTCTCTCAGGAAGCCACTAAAGGATATGCTCCACCAGAAGAAAGGGGTAAAGCAAGAATGAGGGATTGCTGGCCATGCCATAAAACAAGCTCTGAACACTAGAGAGGTGAGGAGTCATCTTAGGATCAGAGTGAGGCGAAGCCGTGAATAACTACTGTGTAGCAATCAGTCCAGACTGGAGCAGGAAGACACAGAGCTGGGGTTATGGGGATTGGGTGGTGGGGTTGAGGGGTGGGGGTAATTACTCAGTGAATGCAAATGTAATGAGAGGAGAGCTGTACTGTGGCAAAAGAGGGTATGGATGAATTAGTGATGATCACACAAATTTAAGCCAAAAATTTAAATGTATTATTGACCAGGGAAAACAACAAGGGAAATATAATCAGCATAGTATAAGGATTATAGATACTTGCCTAATAGTATTAAAAATTCTGAATACTGAGGATATCAAAATTGTGATCTAAATTTATCTGGAAGATGGGTGTGAGTGGGAACGGGTGTATGAGGTGTGTGTTTAAGATAGCCGCATTTTCATCTTCCACAGCATAAAGCTAGTATCTAACCTAGAGGGAAAAACATTCAGCAGCAACAATATAGGTCTGTTATTTAGAAATCTCAAGATAAATAGCAAAGAATATTGGTAGAAGAGTTGAAATTATTTTGTGCAGAAGCTGGGGATGGTGACAGGAATGCTGTTGTTATTATAAGCTTTGGAGTACTTTTCAATTTTTAAACCCCATACCTCCACTTCAATAAAAATGAAATTTAAAAATAAATGTTGACAAACATTTTTATGTAATGAATGTAACATATCCCTTTGTTATGATGAAGAACATTAACATTTGTCTTTAAGAATTTTTTTTTTGAGATGGTGTCTTACTCTGTCACCCGGCCTGAGTAGCAATCTCGGCTCAATGCAACCTCCACCTCCCAGGTTCATATGATCCTCCCACATCAGCCGCTTGAGTAGCTGGGATTATAGGCACACACCACCATGTGCAGCTAATTTTGTATTTTTGGTAGAGATGGGGTTTCCCCATGTTGCCCAGGCTGGTCTATGAACTCCTGAAGTCAAGTGATCTGCACCACAGCCTCCCAGAGTGTTGGGATTACAGGTGTGAGTCACTGTGCATTGGCCCATCATTTGTCTTAATATATAATATTAGGCTGGAGTGCAGTGGCACAATCATGGCTCACTGCAGCCTCGAACTCCCAGGCTCAAGCGAGACTCCCACCTCAGCCTCCTGAGTAGCTGGCACCACAGGCATGCACCACCATGCCCCAGATAATTTTTTTACTTTTAGTAGAGGAGCGGTCCCAGCTGTGTTGCCCAGGCTGGTTTAAGAACTCCTGGGCTCAAGTGTTGGGATTACAGGCGTGAGCCACCGCCCCCAAGGAGCTTCATAAGTAGCTAGGATTACAGGCATGCACTACCACACCCAGCTAATTTTGTGTATTTTTAGTAGAGAGGAGGTTTCACCATGTTGGCCAGGCTGGTCTCAAACACCCGACCTCAAGTGATTCGCCCACTTCGGCCTCCCAAAGTGCTGGGATTACAGGCCTGAGCCACTGCACCTGGCCTATTTTTCTATTTATTTATTTATTTATTTTTTTGAGATTGAATCTTGCTCTGTCACCCAGGCTGGAGTGCAGTGGTGCCATCTCGTGCCCAGCCTTGTTTTGTTTTAATACTTTAAAACAACTAGCAAGAACTTTATCATCCTATACATGATATTGGTTGGGTGTTTTTTGGCACAGTTGGAATGTTTGGTATTTCCATTTCCTTAAGAAGCAAATGGACAATTTTGGCATTTTGGACGCTCCATATGGAGGTCAGCAAATTACAATTCTGCACCCTGGGGAGGACATAAAACCATTTTCACCTTAATATAACTTTTAAATGATACACCACTCCTAAATTACAAAAGGATGCAAATTTTGTAGGGGGTTCAGATGTGTAAAAAAATGTTAGGAGAAGCGATCTCCTCTAGAACATCTATCCTACCCTATCAATTGTTTTGTTGCCAGATTCAAAACTTTGGCCGCGCACGGTGGCTCATGCCTATAATCCCAGCACTTTGAGAGGCTGAGGCGTGCAGATCACCTGAGGTCAGGAGTTCGAGACCAGCCTGACCAACATGATGAAACGCTGTCACTACTAAAAACACAAAAATTAGCCTGGCGTGGTGGCGGGCGCCTGTAACCTCAGCCATTCAGGAGGCTGAGGCAGGAGAATCGCTTGAACCCGGGAGGTGAAGGTTGCAGTGAAAGAAGCTCAGGCCATTGTACTCCAGCCTGAGGGACTGTTTTATTGAAGGCCACAGAGTTTATCAACAGCAGAAGGGCTCACGTGGCTGGGAGGCAGTGGAAAGCGAGTGTGTGAGAGGGGGTTTCGTGAGGGAAGCAAGTCCCGCGTGGAGGGATGGCTGTAACGGGGCATGGGGGCCCTTACCCGGCCGAAAGAATAAGAGGGCACTGGTGAGGTAGCTCACCAGCTCCTTGATCTGATGCCTTTCCAAATACTCCGCGGCTTGGAGCTCCCTGTTGCTGGTCTCCATCGGTTCGCGTCCCGCTGTTGCTAAGCGACTGCCTGTCGTCCCGGCCGTGCGACTCCGCCTCCCTCTCCCTGGCGGGGTCACGTGACGCCTCTGACTCCCCTGTGGCTGCGACCCGGACCTGGAATTTCTAGTGCTCAACATTCAGGGCAAGCCTGGGGAATGTAGCAGGGCAGAGAGGGCAGGTGAGGTGTGGACCAACGTCACCGTCTGGGATCCAGGCTGAGGGCTGGGCCCAAGTGCCTTTTTCCGTTTCTCTTTCTAGCACCTAGCTCGGTACTTGTTGATCCAATGATTAACAAGGCTTGAAGTGCTGGCATCACAACTCAGCATGAGCTCATAACAGAAGGAACTTGTGCAATTTTGAGGGTGCCCAGTGGAGAGTTCTAAGTGGCACCTTCGGTGTGAGCGGCCTGCAGGCATGGCGCTGGCCACCAGGCAGGAAGGTCTTGGCCTGTTGGCTCGACTGGGTTGTGGGCCACAGAGCAGCCTGGATCCTGAGCTTCAACCCGTTTGCTGGAGCTGGTCTTAGGAGAGGGAGACCACCTGACAGATTTATTTATTTTTTTACTTATTTATTTATTTATTCATTCATTCAGAGACGGATTTTCGCTCTTGTTGCCCAGGCTGGAGTACAATGGTGCGATCTTGGCTCACTGCAATCTCCACCTCCCAGGTTCAAGAGATTCTCCTGCCTCAGCCTCCCAAGTAGCTGGGATTACAGGCATGCATCACTACACCCTGCTAATTTTTTTGTATTTTTTAGTAGAGATGGGGTTTCACCACCTTGGCCAGGCTGGTCTAGAATTCCTATCCTCAAGTGATCCACCCACCTTGGCCTCCCAGAGTGCTGGGATTACAGGCGGGAGCCACTGTGCCTGGCCCTGACAGTTGTTTTCAGGGAGGGTCACTGAGTAAGGTGGGATGCAAGTAGCTAGGAGGGCCTCTACTCAAGCATGGGAAGACCTGAGAAACTAAAACTCTGGGCTGGGCCATCTGTCCTTGAGGGCCTGTGCCCACGTCCTTCACCCAAGAGTTAGCCCAGAAGCAGCACTTCAAGAAAGGGAAGGACAAATGGTCAGTGAACATGTGAAAATATTCTAAGCCTCTTTGACAATCCAGTAAACAAAACTACAAGAAAATACCATTTCACATCTACCAGACGGATAAAGATTATGAAGTTGAACAATATCAAGTGCTGGCAAAGACGTCCACAATTAGTGAGATGGTCAGTGATCTTGGGAGCATAAATTGGAACATCCACTTTGGAAAACGGTTTAGAATTATCTTGGTAATTTAAACATGTTTCTACACTCTGACCCAGAAATTCCACTCCAAGAGCAGCTCTTGTCAATGTCCACCAGGAGACATGTACAAGAATGTTTATAGCAGCACCATTCATAATAGAAATCACCGACAACAGACCAAATACCAAGAGAAAAATGGATTTTAAAAACTATGTTATAGAGCCGGAAGCAGTGGTTCACGCCTGTAATCCCAGCACTTTGGGAGGCTGAGGCGGGCGGATCACAAGGTCAGTAGATCAAGACCATCCTGGCTAACAGGGTGAAACTCCGAGTCTACTAAAAATAAAAAAATATCAGCCGGGTGTGGTGGCACATGCCTGTAGTCCCAGCTACTCGGGAGGGCGAAACAGGAGAATCGCTTGAACCCGGGAGGCGGAGGTTGCAGTGAGCTGAGATTGCGCCACTGCACTCCAGCGTGACCACAGAGCGAGACTCAATCTTAAAAAAAACAAAAAAACTATGGTATATTACACATGAATACTATGAACCACTTCAACAGTCAGTTGTAGCTACTTGCAACAATATAGGCGAATTTCAAAAACATTGCTTCAAGAGAATGTATACTATATGAATCAATTTAAAGTTTAAGAACATACCAAACTGAATATATTGTTTACAGATTCAAACATATGTAAGAAATCTATCAAGAAACACAAGAGAATGGTAAACACAAAGTTCAGCACAATGTTTGCCTTGGAGGTGGGAGAAAAGGGAATGGGTTTAGGGAGGAATATCCCGAGGACTGCAGGATTCATTCTAATATGATTTTTCTTTAATTGAGGGGTGGGTTCACAGGTGTTCATCCGATTATGATTCTTTATACCCTATATATGTATTTTACAAAATTTTTTTATCTGTTCAGCATTTAGTAAAAATAATTTTTCAGCAGTTGAAAGCTATTATCCTTAGCAAATTAACACAGGAACAGAAAACCAAATACCACATATTCTCACAAGTGGGAGTTAAATGATAAGAACACATTGACATAAAGAAGGAAACGACAGACACTGGGGTCTACTTGAGGGGGGAGGGTAGGAGGAGGGAGAGGAGCAGGAAAAATAACTACAGGGTACTGGCTTAATACCCACGTGATGAAATAATATGTACAACAAATCCCCTTGATATCTGCTTCCCTACAAAACAGACCTTCACATGTACCCCCAAACCTAAAATTAAAGTTAAAAAAAAATAGAGTGGAAAGAGGAGATAAAAAATGAATGCTGGGAGACTGAACCAAGTCTGAAACAGAAAGTAGCCATGTGAACATGCAACCAGAAAGTGGGCACCGTATCTCCAGAGGGTAGGCCCACCTTGAGAATGCTGAGCTATCTGGCAGGCCAGAAAAGCCCTGATCATCTGGGAGAACTAGAGGAGATTTTAGGGCTGTTTGGGTCCTTGGCGCAACTTTGAACAGAGAGAAGGGATAATGCTCTTGTCCCCAAAGTCTAGAGGAGGTGTTCTGAGGAGGGAAAGACTTACTCTCTGAAAAGACTTGAAAGCTGTGTGCCCAGGGCAAGGTGAGGTGCCTTATCCTGTAATCCCATCACTTTGGGAGGCCAAGGCAGGAAGATTGCTTGAGCCCGAGTTTGAGACTAGCCTGTAATGCAGGATTTTCTTCTCGGTCACTTTGCAAGCCAGAGACCTCTAGCCTGTGATTCCCTACCCAGGCCTCACTCTCCTGCAGCAGGAGACGGCCTGCCCACTCGGCCCACCCAGGCTGAGTCTGGCCTGTGCTCCAGTCCTGGAGTTCTTATCCTGAACCCGGGAAGAATGAAGATGCGCTGAGAATAGAAGAGTGAGCAAGGCAGGGAGTTTTATTGAGTGACAGAATAGCTCTCAGCGGAGAGGGGATCCGGGGGCTGTGGGGGGCAGGTTGGTCCCCCACCCCAACAGTCAGGTAGTTTCTCCCTGTGCTGCTGGGTCTGGGGCCTTTTATGGACTCAGAATGGGGAGTATGTGCTAGTTGGTGTGTGAATATGCAAAAAAGGTTAAAGACACCACTCAAAGGTGGGCACGACAATGTAGAAAACCAATCAGGAAAGGGTAGGTATATAATAGGTGAAGGGTGAGGATCAGTCAGAGGAAAACATGCCAAATGGGAAGACAAGTTCTCAGTCTGGTCTGAGGATTTAACTTGTAGCTTGGCTTTCAGGCTTTAAACTGTCTTTGGCTTGGAGGTGGGATTTCACAACTGACTTACCCCTATGTGCCCAGGCATAAAATGGCTGCCTCCTGTTGCTATCACCTAGCCAACATGCAAAACCCCATCTCTACCAAAAATACAAACATTAGCCAGCTGTGGTGGCACACACCTGTAGTCCCAGCTACTCAAGAAGCTGAGTCATGAGACTCATTTGAACCTGGGAGATGGAGGTTGCAGTGAGCTGAGATTGTGCCACTGTACTCCAGCCTGGGCAACAAAGCAAGCCTCTGTCTCAGAAACAAAACAAACAAAACACTATGTGCCCAAATCTGCGCCACTGGCTTGGGTTTGTAAGAAGGGTCTTTCAGAAGGATGTTGGAGGCTGTTCTACAAACTTTTTAATAGCAGAATACTTAAAAAAAAAAAAAAATCATATGTGGAATCTCTTCCCATTACCCCTGTCCCCAAATACATACACAATAGATAAAAGAACACTATCCTGGAATTCACATAGAATAAGATCACATTTTCATGTTTTATTTTTTTGAGACTGAGTCTGTCACCCAGGCTGGAATGCAACGGTGCCATCTCGGCTTACTGCAACCTCCCCCTCCCAGGTTCAAGCGATTTTCCCACCTCAGCCTCCCAAGTGTCTGGGATTACAGGCACCTGCCATCATGCCCAGCTAATTTTTGTATTTTTGTCTCTTTCTTACAGAAGCATGGCTGGCTGCCTGCGTGATCATAGTGACAGAGTTAACTGGAGCCTGGGGAGCTCTGACGCAGGGACAGAACTAAGCTGACAAAGTTGATGCATTGCTCTGGTGCCTGTGGATCTGAGGGCCCTCTCTGAAGCCTGGTTCCCGATGGGTTCCGGGGAGTTTGAAAACTACTGATGTGGACATTATTCTTCAGTGTTTTTGTTTGTTTGATCCACTCCTCTGGGGACTTGCTTTACTTTCAGTGGTAGAAGGGGGAGTAAAGCATAAACACGAAGACCCAAATTATGCGCCCCTCCTTCAAATTCTGGCTGTCTAAGCACTTGATCCTGGAGGGTTGATCAAAGCTGTATGATCACTCAGGAAAGCGGCTCTGGCTCTGCTTCGTGGCCAGTACAGCAGAGGCCCGGCGATGACAACAGGGATGAGAAATGGAGGGGGAGCCTGCAGCAGTGACAGTGACTATGAGAAGCAGGGGACCACAGGCCTGGGGAGGAGGACACGAGTCACAGCAGACAGAGGGGGCTGCTTTACCGTCTGCTGTCATGATATCCTTCGACTTGCCCAAGGCCAGAGTGGCCTAAACAAAACAAAGTGGAAAAAATGTCAGGAACATTCCTTAATAAGGGAGAGAAGACAAAGTCCTGGTCCCCTGCATATAGTGGTTTCTACTCAGTGCTATGAAGCACAAGACATTTGGTCTTCTCCTTGAGAACGTCATATATTATTTTTCTGAGACAGTCTTGCTCTGTCGCCCAGGCTGGAGTGCAGTGGTACCACCTCGGCTCACTGCAACCTCCGCCTCCCAGGTTCAAGTGATTCTCATGCCTCAGCCTCC